GCTATTTCAGTCTTTTTACTTTAAAATGTAATATTTAATTCAATGTGTTACTCGCTGTTTCTTTTTAATTATTTGTGGAAATGTTTCTAGCAGTTTCTGAGAAAAGCTCACCAGAGAGCAGGCCGTGAGCGTGTTGCGTGCAGTCGTTAGCGTGTAGCGCGGCGTTGCGTGCCGACTGCAGCAGGTTGTAGAGCAGCTGGCAGCCTCTGTCGGTGGACTCCATGCTGTCCTCGCCCTCCATCAGCCTCAGAAGCGGCTCCATGTGTGGCAGAGACAGCGGCCCCGACACCACGGCGTCTATCACACACAACACTCACTGGAAGCTCACTCAGCATCGACACGAGACAGAGTCGAATCACGACAAACACTCACCGTCACCCTCATTCAGGGATTTCATGAAGGGCTTGAGACTCTTCTCGAACATCACGGCGCTGTCGGTGTGATTGCGCCTCAGCGCTCTCCACGTCATCTCCAACCTCACCACCTGCGATATTATTTATACAACATTTTATTCTTATAAAACAAGTGTGAAAGAGTTTTTTCTCTACTTTAGCAGCACTTAATATTATCTTTTTCGAAGTTGAATAAATGTTTCATTGTCATATTTTGCCATGCTTTGTGTGTTCTGCATTATGTGTCCACCCCGTCATGTGCTGGTCCACCCTGTCATCTTGATATTTTACAATGATATTTTAAATAATAATTCAGTCATATCTATATAATCCAGTGTGTTAAATAGCTAGGTGTGGGATCAATAACATGCAAACCAAAAACTGTATCCAAATATCAGATTTCTCCATATAAGAAAAAATACATGTGCGAATTAGGGGTGTGCGATATTGACAAAAAATTATATCGAGATATTTTATGGGATTTTATCGATAACGATAATTAGACGATATTTTGCTGATTGTGTTATTGTGCTGGTACCTTAAGGACTGCCGAAGACAGCTGACTCCAAATGTTTTTAATATTCTTCATATTCTGTGTGGTGGTCAGTTCATACTGATAGAAATTAATCTTTTCCAATAAGTTTAAACTGATTTTTGCATTTTATGGGCATTTTTACCTTTATAAAGCCATTTTTTCTAAAAGTGTCCATTATCTTTTGAGTCAAATTCTTACATTTAATCAGGGAATTAGAATAATAAGACATTTGGGCTGTTACCAAGCAAATTAAATCAACACAGAAGCTGCATCTGAAGTGGCATTTAGATGTATTTACACACATGTATTTTGTTTAATGCAAGACATGAATGCATTTAACCTGCAATTACAAATGCATAAATAATGTTTTGATATATTAAACATAAAACGTTGAATACTGATATTTGATTTAAAACATGAAAAAAATCTATAAAAAAAAAAGAAAAAGCAGAAATTTGAAATTAAAACCGCCAGCAGGTGGCAGCAAATCACTGTTAATAAGTGAGTCATTGCGATTGAACCGAATCATTTAAACGGTTGATTCATTCAGGAACGAAGCACCGTCATGTTGCTCAGAGACACAAAACAGCGCTGTGGCTGTATTCGGGATGATTTTTGTTGGCGAAATAGAGCAAAAACTAGCAATATGGTGTCTAAAACGTAAGTCTCTTAATTAACTTATTGTTTATTGAACTCAATGTCACATTTGTAATCATGGTATTTTTTGGAGAAAAACGGCACTCTTCGTGTGAAATTGAATAACTATATGAAGTGGTATAAATATATACATTTTCTGCCGTCATGTCTTGAATTTGTGATCATTCTAAATGCATTTTAATAGCCTGAATCATGCAGTGAAAGAAAACACACTAAATGCGCACACGCACTAGTCTAGACTTCACGTAATGTATGCGTGCGCTCTGTAGAGATGTTTTGAATGGTTTTTGCAAAATACTCGATAATGTCAAATCGCACATCGTTAAAACAACAATTACGATATTATCGCAGACGATATATATCGCACACCCCTAGTGCGAATAGTATGAGTTTCTTTAAAAACACATGGTTTACATAAAATCTTTCATGTATTTATAATTTGAAAGCAAACAAATAACCCTGTTTAGGAAAGGGACATAATACCTTTCAGAAAATATAATTTGCATCTTAATTTTGCAATGAAAACGTATTTAACAGTAATATATATGTCCATGACAGGGTGGACATATCTTATGGTTTATGCTTTGAATAATGGCCCATAATTATCTAAAAAAAAAAAAAATGTGTGGGAGTTTCTATAGTACTTGAGTGTCTACTATTTATGACATTATGACATGGACATGGAAATTAAAGCCAAAATTTTTGAGAATCGTGAGGGTTGAAAGGCACTCTATGGTGATATTGACCCACATTTTAAATGTTTTTCTCCACTTCAGCAGCACTTACATACACCAAAACTTAGAGTGTTATTCTTATCTATATTCCACAGGTTTTTACTGAAGGATTTGTTCATATATCATTTACACTGATTTATACAACAATTTATTCTTAAAAAACACGGTGAAAGTGCTTATATTTAAAGGTTGTGAGTTTTTTCTCCACTTCAGCAGCACTTACAAACACCAAAACTTAAGAGTGTTATTCCTATCTATATTCTGCAGGTTTTTACTGAAGGATTTGTTCATATATCATTCACACTGATTTATTACTGCTCTTTATCTATTTGCATCTGTAGATTTCAATTGCAATACATATTTTAAATGTTTTTTTTCTCCACTTCAGCAGCACTTACAAACACCAAAACTTAGAGTGTTATTCCTATCTATATTCTGAAGGTTTTCACTGAAGGGGTTTGCTCATATATCATTAACACTAGGGCTGCACGATAAATCGCATGCGATATTTAATGCGCACTGACAAGCTGCGCAAAAAATTGCGCGATTATGAACGTGGTTTAGCGCAGCTCGTCAGTGAACAACGGCTCTGTGTAGTTAATGCTGCTCAATGTGAAAGCACGCAGGTGATGGAGATTTACCGCTGATTACAGAACCGGCTTTACTGACAAGATGCGCATTAAATATTATCGTGCAGCCCTAATTAACACTGATTTATACAGAATTTGATTTAGATAGAATTTGACACTGATTTATATTTTATTTAGAATCCCCTTTGGAAAAACCTTTAGCTCTAATATGACAACAAAATCAAATGAATTTTCAACCTGGCTTTATCCAGTGTTCAGGTTAATATTTTGAAAATGAATGCAAATTAGTGAGTTTTTATATAGATAATGCTTCATTTGGATATTTGGACTTGTAATACAAAAATGTTTTGCAATTCTTAATATAATCAGTCAACTGGGGAAGTATGGTGATATCTATTAGTTACATTTTTATCCAATGCTTTTATCCAGTGTAGGAGGTACCTGCGGCAGCTCCAGTGCTTTCATGACGGCGGAGAAGGCGTACAGGTCGTGTGTGGTGTTGCGCAGCTCCTGCGCCAGCTGGATGATCCTGTGCAGCACCATCGCCCGCTGACCCACTGTCCCAGTACAGCCCAGAAGATCCACCGCCACGCCCAGAGCCAGAGTGTGATGCCTGATGGGGAATCACAGCATGACGTCATCACGCGTCACATGACAACAGCATCAGCATCAGCATCAGCATCGTCATGGCAGCACGCACCTCTCCAGCAGGTCCTGTCTGAGCTGGCCTCCGTGTGGCAGCGTGATGAGCTCCAGACCGGTTTCCACTCCCATTATCCTCTTCTGCTCCACCGTCACCCCTGTGACCCGAGCCACCTGAGATAGACAGAGGCTCAAGATGAGATAGATGTGTGTCGAGTGTGTTATTTTAGTACTATTTATAAATGATTCGTTTTTATTAATATTTTGAATTAACCTTTATTAACTAAAAAATTACTTTCTTTAACAGTCTTTTTGCCTTGTTTTCCAGCACAAATATCTAAATATTCAGACCCGGGAAAACTTGAAAACTTGGTCTGAATGAAAATGCAAATTCATTTTTTGCCACTAGGTGCCGGTTTTGGAGCGGTAAAAATAGCGGTTTCCCCGGTAACGCTGTACACAAAGCAGCACTGCGCTCACAAACGCTGCTTTATCAGGTGTTACAGGCGAGATGAAATGAAAATGAGACCAATCGGACCAATCACTGCAGATTAGCGTTACGCAAAGGAGGGGTTTGGAAAAATGAATCGTTGAGCGAATCGTTTGGGAGTCGTTGAGCAAATAAGGAAAAAATAAATGCATATTATAAGACAATGAAAGTGTTGCTTGACCTTGCATGCATGTCAACCTGTTGTTGGGGACTCCCAAAACCAAAATATGAACCTTTCATAACCCATAATAGGGGCACTTTAATTCAAAGGGAAAACAGGTTTATTTTTTCAGATTTGTTTTAAGCAAAATCAATTTTGATCAGATTTTCAGAAAACAAGATCTATCTTAAGTCATGAGATCTTAACTCTTTCCCCACCAGAGTTTTTGAAAAAAGTTGCCAGCCACCGCCAGCGTTTTTGCAGATTTTCACTAAAATTTCAAGTTTCTTTTCTTTCAGCTTCACTTCAGACAGCAGAAATGCTTTAATGGTTTCAGTGAATGATGATGGCTCTGGCGTGTGGTACCTGGCAGTTGACGCTGAGCATGTGTAGTGCGGTGGTCCTGGCGTCGGTGTGCGTCAGCAGCTCTTTGACCTTCAGCAGGACGCTCTGATCCAGCGGACGGTTGTTGTCGGGCAGCATGAGCGAGCGGAACTCATCCAGACGGAAACATGATGTGGTCTCAGTCTGCGGCTGCTCGAAACACCAATCACGCTCATCCTCCTCGATCCTCTCGCTCTCCCTGCGCTCCTCCTCCAGCTTCTGCGCCTCCAGGAAGCCAAAGCTGGTCTCGGTGAGACGTGCGCGGCTGGTCCATCGCTCCTGAGCGCGGAGACGTGCCGTGTGACCTTTGGGCAACATGGTGATGGGGATCTACACGGGGTCAAAGGTGAGTTTGTTATGTCATCTAATTCTGTTTCTTGGAAACAACATGAAACAATTTGCAACCAGTTTTACTTTCTAATCTGATACTACTAATAATCTTGCTTGCTCCCCATTGACTTCCATTAAAAAACAATGAGATGTTTTTCAAAATAAAATTCTTTATATTTTGCAGAAATATGTCATACAGATCTGGAACGATATGAAGAAACATATAAGAAACTTTGCATTCACTCATAAAACTTTTGCGTACTCCAAAAACATTGCATTTGCCTGCAAAACATTTGCGTTTCCCCAAGAAACTTTACCTTCACTTGCAAAACATTTGCGTTTCCCCAAGAAACTTTACCTTCACTCATAAAACGTTTGCGTACTCCCAAGAAACTTTGCGTTCACTCATAAAACTTTTGCGTACTCCAAAAACTTTGCATTTGCCTGTAAAACATTTGCGTTTCCCCAAGAAAATTTACCTTCACTTGCAAAACGTTTGCGTTTCCCCAAAAAACTATGCGTCCACTCATAAAACGTTTGCGTTCTCCCAAGAAACTCTGCATTCGCTTGCAAAACATTTGAGTTTCCCCAAAAAACAATGTGTTCACTCATAAAACTTTTGCGTTATCCCAAGAAACGTTATGTTCACTTGCAAAACGTTTGTGTTTCCCCCAAAAAATATGTGTTCACTCATAAATGTTTTGCTTTGTCCAAAGAAACTTTACCTTCACTTGCAAAACATTTGCGTTTCCCCAAAAAACTATGCGTCCACTCATAAAACGTTTGCGTTCCCCCCAAAAAATATGTTCACTCATAAACGTTTTGCGTTGTCCCAAGAAACTTTACCTTCACTCATAAAACTTTTGCGTTCCCCCAAGAAACTTTGCATTCACTCATAAAACTTTTGCGTTCTCCCAGGAAACGTTGCGTTCACTTGCAAAACATTTGAGTTTCCCCAAAAAACAATGTGTTCACTCATAAATGTTTTGCATTGTCCCAAGAAACTTTGCGTTCACTCATAAAACTTTTGCGTTCTCCCAAGAAACTTTGCATTCACATGCAAAACGTTTGCGTTTCCCCAAAAAACTATGTGTTCACTCATAAAACGTTTGTGTTCTCCTAAGAAACTTGGCATTTGCTGGCAAATCTATGGCTTTACCAGAAGTAACTCTGCATTCACTTGCAAATTTTTTGACATTCCCCCAAGAAAATTTTGCGTTTCCTTGCAAACCTTTGCATTCACTCACAAAACTTGGGATAACGCAATACTTTTCAGAGAAAATGCAAAAGTTTTGCAAGCAAATGCAAACGCACTGGAATATATATTTATTTCATCTTGTCTCGTATTTTCCTATCACTGTGCTCCCACTGATATAATTAGACCAGAATTGTGTATGAAGTAAGTAAATCAAATCAGATTCTAAGTCTTGTTGACTTTAAATAGCATGTGCTCATGAACTCTCACCTGTGGCACCAGCTCACCATAGAGGCCGGTGGAATCAGTCTCCGGACCAGAATCAGGTTGAGTCGGGGTGAAGACGATGGAGATCCGCAGTGGTTTGGGAGGCGCACGTGAATGCAGCTGTCCATCAGAACCGCGCAGAGGACAGCCGCCGAGACTCGACTGGCTGGGCGGAGCGGCGCAGGAAGCGGCTGGGCTTAGAACAGGCTCACTTCCAGTGCGGAACACCAGGGAGACGGGGGCGGGGCTGGACTCCTGTGACGGACAGCTCTGTGGGACACCTGCACGACATCAACAAAACATTCTGTGAGATGATCAGATCTCAGATCAGTTTTTCAATATGTTCACGTGTGTGTGTGTGTGTGTGTGTGTGTCTGTGCTGGTGTGTGTGTGTGTGTGTGTGTAGCTGGTGGTTCAGCGGTTGGGTTACGACACGCGGGTCACTGTCCTGGGCCACGTTCAGAGAGGAGGAACGCCATCCGCCTTCGATCGAGTCCTGGTGAGTGCATTAAAAAACGTCATGTTGAAATGTGGACATTTCAAATTCAGTTTTGTGTTTCTTGATGTGTGTATACCTGTGCGGAGGTTGCTGTCAGATTGAGCGGACTGTAGTGACGGTCTCCCAACTGTCTCCAGATTAGCAGGCTGACTGCCGCTTCTAACACACACATCACTGTTACTATGACAATTATACACATGCATCACTGTTACTGTGACAACCGACACATCACTGTTACTATGACAACACATCACTGTTACTATGGCAACTATGCACACACATCACTGTTACTGTGACAACACACACATCACTGTTACTATGACAACTATACATGCACGCACAGCACCGTTACTATGACAACTATACACATCAATGTTACTATGACAACTACACACAGGCATAACATTACTATGAAAACTATATACATCAATGTTACTATGACAACTACACACACATCACTATTACTATGACAACTATACATGCACACACAACACCGTTACTATGACAACTACACACACATCAGTGCTACTATGCGACTACACACACATCACTGTTACTACAACAACTACATACACATGCACATCAACGTTACTATGGCAGCTATACACACCAATGTTACGATGACAACTAGATACACATGCACAACACGTTACACCATCACTATGACACGCACATCACACTACAGTCACACACATCACTGTTACTATGACAACTACACACGCACATACACATACACACAGAACACTGTTACTATGGCGACACACACATACTGCACCATTACTATGACAACTGTACACACACACACACACATCACTGTTACTATAACAACTACACACACATGCAACAATGTTACTATGGCAAAACATACAAACTACACCATTACTATGACAACTATACACTCACATCACTATGGAAACACACGCAACACTTTTACTATGGAAACAAAATGGTCTGTGTATGTGTGTGTTACCTGAGCAGGTTGTTGCTGTTGAGCTGCAGTGTGTCTTTCTGAGAGGAGCTCAGGCTCCGCCTCTTGCTCTGACCTCGTGACAGGAGGGAGGAGCTCGATGACCTCGCAGCCTGGTGCTCGCTGATGATGCGTAGAGGCAGAGTGCGCGTGATTGGCTGAAAGATGATAGCTCCGGTGGAATGTGAGATGGGATGCCGTCCGCCGACATGAAAGCGAATTAACGCTGGAATGTTATCGAACTGATCTTTCTCAAACTGAAAGAGCTCCCGGGTGTAACCCTACACACACACACACACACATCAGACTCAGCATCTGAAAGAAGCTATAAACGTTGAGACGGATGCTATACCTGTTTGGGTCGCAGCACGACACGTATGATTTTGAAGTGCATGGGCTGATTTTTCCACATGCAGCTCAGGACGTATTCGCCCGTGCTGGAGCTGGAGTCACGCACCAGAAACTCCCCATCTCTACTCAACAACTGCTCCGCTCCCTGAACAGCCACAAATACATCAAAATATATCAATAAAAATGAGATTTAAACAAGTCAACAAATGAGTACATTTATATAGCACATTTCATACAACAAGGTAATTCAAAGTGCTTTACATTAAAATAATCATAATAGATGCATAATAAATAAATATAGAGAATTAAAATGATTAAAAGTTAAGAATAAGAACAACCCAAAATAACCCATAACATTAAAACAAACAAATAAAAATGAAATTTAAAGTGGTCATATGATGCTGCTAAAACGAACATTATTTTGTGTATTTGGTGTAATGAAATGTGTTTATGCGGTTTAAGGTTAAAAACACATTATTTTCCACATACTGTACATTATTGTTTCTCCTCTATGCCCCGCCTTTCTGAAACGTGTTGATTTTTACAAAGCTCATCGGTCTGAAAAGCGAGGTGTGCTCTGATTGGCCAACTATCCAGTGCGTTGTGATTGGCCGAATACCTCAAGCGTGTGACGGAAATGTTACGCCCCTCACCATACTGTGATGATGCCGTGTCCAGCCGGAGCGTAACATAAAACCCTGTCTGCATTTGTGATCGGAGAAATGACAAACAACAAGCGCTACTCCACACTGCTCAAAAAACTCGCTTTTGAATCGTCAGTGGAATCGTCAACTTAACAGAAACAAAATATTTTCCAAATAATATGTTTGTTAATATTTATAATATTAATTGTCATCAAACAAGAAACTATATTGATGCCTTTTAAATTTTAGGATGGCAGTCCATCCTAAAATGTAGGTTCAGGTGTGTTTAATTAGGGTTGGAGCTGAACTCTGCAAGACTGTGGCTCTCCAGGACTGATGTTGGCTGCCCCTGACCTAAAGTAATAGTTCTCCCAGAAATGAAAATGTTCATAATGTCATATCAAACTTGTGCTGTTGTTGTTTTTTTTTCCAAGGAACACAGAAGTAGACACTTGAACATGGAAACATATTAACTCGTGTCAGTTCCTCACACTAAAACATCATATGACCTCACAAGACTTGGAATAATGCATGAATCGTGCTACTTCTGCTTTTTATGTGTCTTTAGGCTGCTATGAATGTTCACGTGAAAGGAGGTGCATGAACATTCTTCAAACATTCGCTTTTTCTCTTTCACAGAGGAAATCATCAGCATACTGCAGGTTTGGATGACATGAGGGTGAGTGAATGTGGGTGAACGATGCCTTTTACCACAGTAGCACACACACACACACACGCACACACACTCACACAAACACACACACTCAAACTCACACACTCACTCACACACAAACACAGTCTCACACACACACACACACACACACACACACACACACACACACACACACACACACTCACACACACACACCTCGTGCTGCAGCTGTCCATGATACCAGGCGTGACTCCTCAGATCCTCAGTGCTGAGTCTGAGTTCCTCCTCCAGCTCCTTCTTCAGAGAGTCCATGTCCTTCAGGCCTGAGAACACCTTCAGAATCATCACAGTAACACAGTAAAGCACTGGCACCCTGCTGAGGCCAAATATCAGTGATAAAATAAAATTATATTTCCTACGGCATGACACTCTCACCTGACTGATGAAGGCCGTCACACTCTTCCTCCTGCTGCAAAACAGAGCAGAGCAAGTAATGTGTGTTAACAAAACCATATGTTGTTCATTTGTAATATTTACATTTCAGTTTTAGTGCATTCAAGGTGCACATTTTATTAGTTCATTTGCAATGTAGCTATAATCTAAGTCGATGACAGCAGTAAATCCACACGCACATTTGGTGGAAAACTGATGTTTTTGATCTGATTAAAATCAGTTAATTTAGATGTTATTTTTAAGGCGAGACACTACAGGCAAACCATTGTTTTGTTTTTGGTTTGTTTCATGCATTGAGATGTTGGCTTCTTTCAGACGAGTGGAAAGAAAACATCATAAATGCACATGCAAGTGTTTATTTTATTGCACTTTATCTATTTGCGTCTGTAGATTTCAATACTGTTTTTTTCCTTACGTTCACCAAACTTTGCAGTGGTATTCTTATATATATTCTGAAGGTTTGTTGATATTTCCTTCACACCGATTTAGGCCTATATGACATTTTATTCCTAAAAACATGATGAAATGTATTAGTTTTTTTGGTTATTAGCAGTATTTGTTGATTTATGGAGAAGATATGGAGAAAAAAAAATGAACTCGAATATAAAACTTGTAAAACAGTCATCTTAATATACTGAGAAGCTGTTGTTTTGGCAGGCTGGCTTTAATACAAGCTGTTTTTAGACAAACGAGAACGTTTCGAGTTCTGAAACTTACAGGATGTTTTTATAATACAATGACCTCTTATACGTCAAAAGATCAAGGGAGTTTTGGTTTATCCTGGCGAGAGTATGGTTAGATCTGTTAGATAATATTCAACCTGTGGTGTCCTGCCTTTATTTATACCGTTACCTTGGTGACATAGACACATCAGAAGAACAGAAGTTTGTACAGCATCAGAACAGATGCACATGGTCATCAGACATGAACAGTTACTCCAGACCGTGCTGATGATGATGATGATCCTACAGACTGCAGGGATTTAACACTGTACAACATGCATTCATGTCAAAGCCACTTCCTCTCTCCGAATCCTCCGTCCCAAACTCTTCTTAAGTAAAAAAGACCTCCGAGAACGCTCTCCAGATCACTGACACGGAGACTGGTGTTTCTGAATATCACTTTAACAGCGTTTCCTTCCCATCGCGCAGCCAAACCTGCTGCATTGTGTCCTCTGGACATCAGGGAATGTCCTGGGACTGGTTGCCATGGAAACGGATGTTATGGGCTTTTCCTGACCTTCTGGATTCAAGGTTGGGTCGAAAACAATTAACACGCTTTCCTTATAGCCATGCCCTAATAACAGTGATCGAGATGAAGCTACACTAAAACAAATGCACTTACTATTATAATAGAAATAAATTATGCATAATTACATGCAAGTAACCCTAAGCCAAACCCTATTCCTGACCCTAAACATATAGTAAGTACATGCAGTTCATTAATATTACCCAATACTTAAATGTATAATTACACTGAAACAAGGACACTAAAAGTACAATACGATCACAACACCATCTGGATTCTAGGCGTAGCAGCTCATGTTTCCAAAGTCAAAGTTTGCTAATAACACACACTTGAGTTCACAACACACTAATGCAGAACAGCCGGTTTAGATGCAAACTTGCTTAAAGAATCTAAAACTGGAGCTCACTGCAACTACTAGAGTTTAAAGAGCAGAAATATCGTGTGCTGTATCAAAGGTCCGAGCCCTTCCCATCGCGCACTGCAGGATAATCATTAACAGCGTTCAGAAACTTACCTGGAAAATCAGAGAAATCCCTGTGCTGGCGTTTCTCGGCGGGAGATCATCGTGATCCGAGTGCTTCTCCTTCCACAGCGGACCGCTCACAGAAGACGAGTTCACGCACGCACGCACCGCTATCTCTCGCGCATTCCTCGCATTCCGCGCGCAGTGCACTCACCTGTCTGACGCCGCGCGAGGCCCTGCAGACCCGCAGACAGAGAGAGAGAGAGAGAGAGAGAGAGAGAGAGAGAGAGAGAGAGAGAGAGCGAGAGA